AAAGTGTTTTCGTGAACATGCTTTATTCCAGCTCATACCAGAAGAGGTCTCAAATATATGCCTACGATGATAGTACAGGAAAAGAGGTGTCACCACTATGAATCAAGCATGGTCAGTAAAATGCGATCAAGAAGAATGTTGAGGACCGGGATCGGGACTGCCACCGACGAAGGTGCCACCAAACACGACGTCTCATCGGCGTTTTTGTCATCGGAAACTATCGGTGAACCGGGGATTGGCAGTTTTGACGGTAGCACGAACGCGTGAATCACGGGCACATTAGAATCCTTGTAGTTTTCAAGCTGCTGACACAGTTCATCGTCGATCGCCGAAACGGGCCATTTTTTATCGTAGCATCTTTCATTTCCATTCGTATTAGTTGCTGATTCCTTGGTAGCGCTACCACTGCTTGATTTCGGTTGACAGAGTGATGAACTTCTCACTTCGCTATTTTGCGAAATTTTTAATTCTTCAGATACTACATTCATCACAGCATATTCCTTTGCCCTTTTTTCTCTGTCGCCACCACCATTTTCTTCCGGTTCTACGGCGGCATTCGTGCTTTCACTAAGTCTCGTCTTTGTCGTACTTTCATCATCAATGGGCAACGGAATGTTTGAATGCAACGCAATAGCAGCCATACACTCCAGAAATCGAGCCTCCATGGCCGGCGGCCGGTGCTAAAAAATAAATTTGTTCGTGTGCGCCAACACCTAACCTTTCGTATTTCAACCGCTAAAAAAGCAAGCAACTGCTGAGCATGCATGTATAAACATGTGAGACCAAACGAGTCCCCAACCGCCAAAACGCCTATGTGAACAGGGAAAGGTCGCTTCTAAATAAAGTAACGCAGATTACGGAACAAGACTCACGTTGAGTGGATGATGGCGGTTCGGCGAATTCTCATCGAAGAAACTCTCCCTGAGTTTTTGATCGGCAGCAGTTTTCGAATTTTCAGTTAACTGTTCCATAGCTGGCATCTGCTTGTTAGTGGCTGTTGCTGGGACCAAGCGCTGTTCGTGGAGTGATTTTCCTGAGTTAAGATGCGCTGAAATGCAAGATTTCAGTTTAAAAGAGGAATATGCTTTAAAAAAATCATTGAAAAATTGAACAGTGCGTGAGCTAAATGATCTTTCTTCGTTACTCGATTACATCAACATTCGAGGATGAACGCTGTTTTGCAACTGTTTCTCTTTTTTTTTCCATCTGGAGCGTAACTGTACTGGTTTCACTTTCCCACCACTTACTGGCCAGATCGAGAATGGTCCACACAGCATGCGCCTAGCGAAACACACGAACTGTTGTCATTTCAGTGTATCCTGAGACTCAGTCGTATATCAGTAATGCCTACTCTTCCAAGTTTGTAGAAGACAAACAGCTATATGCTAATACACAGGTGCTTCCATATGTGCTTATTTATATAAAAGTATAAAGGAGAAGTTATAAAGGAGAAGTTCTAAAAAATTGGCTGAATCAACTTTAAAAATTATAAAAACTAAGTGCCTAA